TGCAAAATAATTTACACAGAGTATTCATATGTAAAACTATAGTGTGCCTTTTCCACTGAATGGGATTATAATACTGCAAACAGTCCTCTAAATAAACAAACCAACCAACCAGTCTCAAAATTACCTGTATTCCCCACTTCATTTACTCCACTTCTTTGGTCTTTTAAAGGTATGTTTACTGAGGTATAATTTACATACTGTAAAATTTATATTTCCGTACACAGTTTTGACAAATTTATACAATATGTCACCATCATCACAACATGGAATACTCCTGTCATCCCCAAACGTTTTCCCATGTTCCTTTGTAATAAATCTGTTCCCCTCACCTCAGACACTTACTCACCTGATTTGTCCCTATAGCACTGCCTTTTCCAGAATGTTATATAGTATACAGTTATATAGTATACAGCCTTTTGTGTTTGGTTTCTTTCACTTAGCATAATGCTTTTAAAATCAGTCTATACTGTTGCATGTATCAACAGTTCATTCCATTTAACTGTTGAGTAGTATTCCACTACAAGCATGTTACACAATTTATTGATCCATTTACAAATTGATGGCATCTGGATTATTTCCAGTTTTTGTCAATTAAAAATAAAGCTGCTGACTACAATGGAGTATGGGGGGGTACAATAATATGGGTGAATGTAGTAACATTGTTTTTTCATGTGAAACCTTCATAAGAGTGTATATCAATAATACCTTAATAAAAAAAATAACAGCTGCTATAAACATTTATCTATAGATCTTTGCATGGATATACATTTGTATTTCTCTTGGGCAGTAAATAAATACCTCAGAGTAGGACTCCTAGATCTTACGCCAGGTACATTTTTAATTTCATACAAAACTACCAAACTGTTTTCCTTTTCTTTTCCCACAAGAAATGTATAAAGAGTTCCAGCTACTTGGCATTCTTGTCAGCACTGAGTACTATCATCTTGTTAACTTTAAGCCCTCAATTCTAGTAGATGTGTAGAGTATCTTGCTGGCTGCAGTCTTAATTTGCTTTTTCCCTAGTGACTAAAGAGTTCAGCTTCTTTTCATGTGCTTATTTGCTACCTACTCAATCTTAAATGGCATATGGAAATACTTAATATAGCTATATTTTGTCAGTGGACACTTGAACAACATTGTGCATGTAAATACACCACCATGCAGAACCACAATACAATTCTCATCTGAAAAACTGTTAGGACAACACACAAAGCAAAAATCATTAAGACAGCCTAAAAAGACTAATATACCATTCATCTGATCAGGGCACATTCATTCAGTGGCCACTAACTGAGAAAATCTTTTAAAAATCTAACAGGATTAATTTCCATAGGAGAACACAGCCAAACAGCCATCTCCAGTATCAGAGCCAGTGGTTTCACAAAAAAATTCTAGGAAGAATAAACAAAAATTCCAAGGCCATCTAAAACTCCAAAGCATAGGAAAATGCTAAAGACTTTCAGGTTATATTATTGAAGTATAACATTGATACCAAAAGTAAAACTGTAGATCAATTTTATTTATGAATGTCAATGCAAAAATCCTAAATGATATACAGCAGTAGCAAACTGAATGCATCAGTATAATAATTAAAAAGCAAAAACTAAAAAACAAGCATCATGGCCAAGTGGAGTTTATTATACAAAGTAAAGTTGGTTCAATATTTGGCAGTCTTTTAATAGAATTCACTATAACAACAGAACTAAAAAGTTGGATTGGCCTAGAGTTGGGCAACACTGGATTGGCTGCCTGTTTTTGTGAATAAATTTTCTGGAAGATAGACATATTCACTTGATTATATATTGTCTGTGGTTACTTGTGCAACACAAGACCTGAGCTGAGCAGCTTCAACAAAGACAGCATCACCTATAAGCCTAAAATAGTTATATTTATATTTGTTTTGTCTGGCCCTTTAAGAAAAAGTTACGAACATGTGTATTTAGTGTTCATCTTCACAGATGCCTATAAGTTGTATAACAAAATGTGAAGGATCATTTCAAATTTTTTTAAATAATGAGAACAGTGGTTGTTTTCATTGCAATAGTCAATTTCCTGTATGTCTAACCAATAAAAGCAAGTGGACTTTTTGAATTTTTTCCCCTCCTTTTTCATCACACATTAACTGAAAGGCCAAGAGAAATAATAGATCCTTATTTTTTCATGATTTAATTTTATAAAAACACTTATTACATGGTGAAAATTTTCTGTATATATTAAACAACAATAACAACAAAAAACAGGTGCAAAATGGAGTGTGTATTCCCAACTGTGTGGAGAAGAAAGGGGAAATACATTCCTATTTACTTGTGAATTCACAAAAAAGAATCTCTGTAAAGATACACAAAGAACTAAAAACAGTATTTACTTATTTGCGTTTTGGTAGGATATGGGAAAACGACGGATGTGGTGGAAATGAGAAATTAACTTCATATTTTTTATACACATACATTTTGAACCATGAGAATGTATTACCTACCCCTGCCAAAAAAAATCCAAAAAACATCCCTTAAGTAGATATATAAAAAATACTACAATGTTCTTCTTGGTTTGGAAATATTTTATAAATTATAAATAGATTGTCATTTCCATGTAGCAATGAAATCTGATTAGAGGTAGGCAATAGCCAAGCCATTTTATTGACAAAGGCATATTACAGCATTTTGGCCTTAATCTCTCACTGTCCCTAAATTTAAGATTTTACCTTAATTTTCATGGATTTTTGGCCTGATGGGGTAAACACAATTGTATGGTTCCTTCCAAAAACTTTGAATAATAATATACTGAACAATGATGACTTTATTAAAATTATTTTACTTAAATACATACCATTGTCTTCTTCAATTCCAACAGGCCCTGCTTGAGGAGTTTCTCCATTCTTTAAACAATTATGGATATATGTTGCCTTCCATCTTGCATATTTTCTGTGTTTCACATTCTAAAAGAAATATCATTATATTATTAGAATGTAGTAAAGAAGTCAAATAAAAATATACACTTGTGATGACTTATATCATATTAGGAGATACAACATTGTAGCATTGTATATCTCTGAAAAGAGTCTGGCAACTTCCCCATCCTCCCACTGGATTGTACTAACTTCCGAGGGTGAGACAGATTTCATAAAAAGCTATCTTCCTCAAAACACATGCCTAGTTATGGTTTTTGTACTTCAGAAAAGGTCTGCAATGAAAATATGGGAGTGCCCTCTGGCAAAACTTAACTCTTTCTTATGCATCATGGAGAACTAGGCTAAACGGAATTCTAGAATTAAATATAAAATATAATAGACTGAATTATTCTCACTGAAGGGGGGAAATGATCTGTACAAATTAACGAAAACAAAAGGAAAAAAACTAAGAGGATGCAGTACTTGAAGCAAACAAACAGCTAGGCTAACTTGACCTTTTAACCTGTAAAATGCTGCTTATGAGCTCTTAATCTCAGTTACCTCAATTCCCAAAAGCAGAAAATACTACTTTTCAGAGATTTTGTAAGAACTGAAAATATCAATGAAGAACCTGCTACTTGCCTTATCTTCTCCCTGTCTTAGCATTTATGCCGCATGCTATAAAAGAAGTCAAAATCTGCTTTAAAAAATAAAAGAATGAAATCTGCTGGAATTTTGGATGGGCTAGTGATTTTTAGTTTGTATTTCAATTGATCTTCATGGACCAGTGGTATTGGTATCAACAGGGAGCTTGTTGGAAATGCAGAATCTTCAAGTCCATCACAGACCTACTGAATCAGAACCTGCACTGTACAAAATCCCCAGGTGATTTGTATTCACATTAGAATTTGAGAGAACACAAGGTTTTACTATGTTGAAAACAACTGTAATTTGTTTTTTGCAAAGATCCACTAAATACAAATACATATAGTTCAGATACTTAATATTTAGTGAATTTCTCTAGATACTACTACAGATTAAGAAGTATATAGAAACCTAAAAAAAACCCCAAAATCTGAATTTATATATTTAATTTCTTTTATTATCCTTTTACGTATTCCATTAATTCTATATATTGATTCCCATTTTCTTCGAGATACGATTATAATTTGTTTCACTACACAAAGAAGCTTTTCAAAAGCACCTACATTTAAAGTCCTCACTGTTTCACCATTCAATTCACTCTAAGGAGGAAAAAGTTTCTCTTTCTTTTCTGTTTAGTTCTTATTTTCACCACACAGAAGATCAAATAATTTGAACATAACCATGCCTTTTAATGTAAGGGAGCCCATATATGCCGCCTCCACCTCACTTAAGCTGTCAGTTCACTTGAGGAACTGTTCCTGCTAATGTCACCAACAGCCTACTCTATACTGGCAAATCCACCTTACCAGGCATCATCTTAACCAAACCTCTCAGCAACATATTAAACACTGAACCATTCCAATATTTGTGAAACATTTACTATTCCTTGTTTTTATGACACTTTGTTCCTGTTTCCTCTTACTAATAGTCCAGCTGACCACCAAAAAATGTTACACACCCTGTTCTAGCAGAGACTGTAAACTGGTGGGCTCAATCAATGCTGACGCATACGTAATTTTAAATATGAATTATATGTTCCACGTAATTCAATAGTAGGACAGCCACAGAAAATCCAAATTCCTAACTTCTTTTTAAAAATGAAAAATCTGGAAACACTAAGCCCACATTTATTTGGTAATTATTATCTTAATGAAGAACAGGCAGTCTCCTTCAGATGATACATATCCATTTGCATTCATTCTGTCCCCTGCTGCTCTCCCATCCTCCCTCTCCCGTTCACACACCCTGTTAGTTGCCATTTATAATCTCACAGTGGGCTGTCTTCATTCATTGTACTACCTTCCAGACTCCTACAAGCATTCCTGTCATGCAGCCTATTTTTTTATCCCTCCATATTCTTCTCAGTGGCTTTACATATTATCTATATTTTTATTATTCTTATATATCTAGCCAGAATTTGCTTTTGACAAACATTCAACTAACAATGAGAAATCTTCGCAAGGATGTCTCAATTCAACTCAAATTAATTTGTCTCAAACTGTTCTCAATTCCTCTTCCTAAGAAACCTCACTCTGCCATGCCAGAAATGTGTGGAAGTCATTTTGTGTGGAAGTCATTTTTAGCATCTTTAGTTTATCCTTTGTCTCCAAATTTTCCAAGAATCCAGATAATATAGTAGTAATATATCTTGGTCATTTCCCTATTTTCTTTGCAGTGGTCCCCTAATCTGTGTCCTTACATTCTTGTCTTACCTCCACACCTTCCTCATCCTGTACTCAGAGTAGAACAATCTCTCTAAAATGTAAATCTACTCTTCTCAATCTTTTTAACAGCTTCTCAACACATTTAAAATACAAAACAAACTCAATCTAGCTACAGAGATTTTATTCTACCTGGTTCTTGACTGCCCAACTTCCTCATGTCCCTATTCCATGAACTACCGACTAGCTGTGTCAGATCTTCTGTTACTAAACATGCCAAGGCTCAGGTGTGTGCCTTCTGTCCCTTCCCCTTTTTCTCACATAGCTAACTCACTCCTACTCAACTCACTCTTCGTAGATCAGATCAAATGTCAGTTCCTCTGAAATCTTTTCCTGACTTCCCAATGTAAGGTAGGAATTACTAGTTATCCTCTCAAATCTTTTTCTTAATAATATTTACCACAATTTATAATTACACATTTATACATGTTTATAAAGTACCCCTCACCCAAGAAACACACATACTCTAGAATATAAGCTCATTAAAGGCAAGGTCCATGTCGTCTGTTGTTTATCATATACCAAGCACTTAGCTTTGTGACCAGTACCTAGGAGTTGCTCAGTAAATATACACACCTTTGATGTATGATAACTAGTTGATTCTGATGGAAGTCATTCTGTTCAATATACAGATTTCTTATTTCTGTGAAAGTATAATTACTTCTGCCTTTATAAAGTTCAAATAAGTTTATTATATAATTAGAATGGTTTGAAATTTCTAATGTTTTGACTATTTTTGGCCTATAGAAACAGCAGCAGCATGAGATTCACTTTTACTTCTCCCCCTCCAGTCTTTGAGACCAAAGAACATGTGCTCAAATACTGGGTTTTCTATAGTAGTTTGAGTTTTTAAAAATCCTCGACAATTGTGATTGAAGGTCTAAAAATGCTACATCATAATCAGACTTGAGAGTCTCTAGGTTTGTATGTCTATGTGAATTCAGTATCTGCAAACTGATATTATTTTAAAATGTTCATTATTAACACATACTTCAGCAATATAAGCTAATGAAGATAAACTAAAATTTCTAGTGATTTAAAGTTTTCCTCTTTTTGGGGAAAACAAGATACATTTAACCTCAACATTTTTAGGCTCAATAAATATTTGCTATTAATTATAACCTTCAGTTCACCAAGATAGGAGATACAAACAAGTCTATTATTTTTGCCCTTAGGGAGCTGATCATCTTGCTATGGATATAGAACTAAAATATTCTTTTGTAAAAGAATATTACTATAAAAATGCAGTAGATAGAAAATATTAAACTTGTTTCCTTAGTGAATGCATGGAATAGTTCAAAGAAGAAAGAAAAAGCATTATAAAGGATAACTGGCAAAATAAATGGTACTTCAGTTTAGTTGCAAGATTGGTGTGATGGGAAAGGTGGAAAACAGTAGTGAGAAGACCCTGGGGAGAAGGAAAAGTATGAGCAAAGTCAGGCAGAATTAAAGTGTTTCAAGAATGAAGATAAAGAAATGAATTTGCTATAGATGGAAGATACATATTAAGGACTAGTTGGGTAAGATAAATCCAAGACAAGATTAAAGTCTTGGAACATCTTTATAGTAGTCCACAGGTTATAAAACACTTTCACAGATGCTTCTCTTACTTAGTCCTCACAATAACCTTGAAGTTTATCTAGACCCCATTTTACTTTACTGAGGCTCTGAGACATCTTTTAGATTGGCTCAATGTAAATAGTTTGAACTAGCATTCAAGGACTTCCACCTTGTGGACACTGCTTCAGTCTTACTTCCCACCATCTCCCCCAATCCATTCTGCCTCACCTACAGTCTTTTCTCATACTATTCTCCCTACCTTACACGGCTTCCTGTTCTGCCAAAAGTCTCCTCTTCTGCCAAAAGTCTCTTCTGTTAGGCTCAGTTTTAATGTTTATTGCCGATAAGTCAACAGCTATAACTCACTCAACTCAGGCATTATGCTAAGGGCTGAGGATAACAGGATGAGCAAGGTAGGCATGAGCTTTAGACTCCAATGTGAAAGCCAGGCAATAACTTCTATCACTAAATGCAGCACTTTTATTACCTGAAGTCCATAATTTTCTTCATCTTTCCTCTAGGATTGTATATTCCCATAATTAAAAAGATGAGAAAATGGCACTATGAAAGTAGAATGACTTTACTCAAGGTCACATTATTTAGAAGTGAAGTCAACTACTTGATTCAGGGCTGCCTTGGTAAGCTATATTTGGCATACTGCACTCAGATGGCAATATTTGAAATAAGGGATAATGGCCTTTAAGAAGTCAGCCACTTAATGCATAATAACACAAGATATACTTTGGTAGATATAAACAGGATCATGTTTGAAAGTATACGAATGAGTTGCTAAGTAGAGTTTAATCTGCCTTCCTTGAGTTCCTTCATTAGTATGTATGTGAAGTTTAAAAAACATTATCCTAACCTGAAATGGGTTTATTTTAGTAAATACATTAAAAAAAATTCTGCAGAGCAGATAAATCAACACAAGTTTGATTTTTATTTCACACTATTTCCAAGACACCATGAAAACTGGTGCTTATAATATTTAGCAGAAAAATTTGGCAGTTGTACCTCAAAACTACTTCAATTTTTGTTTTCTTTTCAAAGGATGCTAGATACTAAACATTATTTTAAGAGGAAATTTTCAAGGTGTCAGTATTTTTGAAATATTGAACTTTT